CAACTTGCCCCCCCAGTTGGGGGCGCGCCCCTCGAAACCCGAAGGGGTCGGCCTATATCCCCATCTACGGGGGGCGAATCGGCCAGTGGGGCCCAGGCCGCGCCGCTGGGGATGGGGATCGGGTGAACGACGCTCGAACAGACATTCCGGCAGTCTCAGGCGGCCCCGGCGTCGCCAGCGGCGCTCCTGGGGCCCCGCGCGCCCCGGCGTCGGGGTGCTGAGGCCGTCCAGGATTATGCTCAAGTTGGCCCCTGTCCCTCTTCAGGGGGGAAATTCAAGCATCGTCCAACGAAATAGTTTCCGAACGTTCTTTTGATTATTTTGCAAGTTTCGCTCGGCATCCGCCTGCGGGGGGGCGCGCCCGACCTGGGGCTGCTTTGGGGGCCTGTTGAGGCCGGCGGCAGGGGCTGCGTGGGGGGGGGGCTTTCTCCGTGCAGCCCGAAGCTTTGCGTGCCAACCGCGGCCGAGAACCAATTCTAGACGCTCCGCGTGACCCCGCCGGCCCGTCCAGAAACGACGCCCCAAGAGAAGTGCCTCGATCGAGGAAGTGGGCAGGCAGCGCGCAGAGGAAGGGCGCCCCAGTGGGGGCCTCTTGGAGCGTCTTGGGGACCTCTCGGCGGCCCCGGGCGCCTCTTTGAGCGTCTTGGGTGCCTCGGGGAGCCTCTTGGGGCCTCTTGGGGGTCTCTTGGGAGCCTATTGGAGGCCTCTTGTGGCGCCTGTTGGGGCCTCCTGGGGCTTCCCGTGCGCCTCTTGGGGCCCTCTTCAAGCGCTCTTGGGAGCCTCGGGGGCGCTCTTGGAGCCCCCGTGGGCCATCTTGGAGTCGTCGTGAAGTCTCGGATGGCCGTCGGAAGCGAAAAGGCGAGAAAGCCCAACGCATGGATTTTCCGAAGGTTTTGGAAGGACGTTGGCCTCTTCGGGGCCTCCAGGGGGGCTCTTTGGCCACTTGGGGCCGTCTTGAAGCGGTCTCGAGGCCTCTTGGAGCATCGTGGGGGCCATTTTGAGGCTTCTGGGGATATCTTGAGCCATCTTGAAGGTCATCTCTTGGGGCGTCTTGGGTGCCCATGGGGGGCTTCTTGGGGCCTCTTGGGGGCCTCTCGGGGGCATCCTGGGGGCTTCTTGGGGGGTTCTTGGGGCCGCATCGGGCCATCTTGGGGCCATCTCGGGGCCTCTTGGGGCCTCCTGGGCGCCTCTGGGGCCATCTTGGAGGAGATCGATCGCGCGGGGGGGGGGGGGGGGGGGGGGCAGCGCGTCGCGGACCCCCCCGTCGAAGTCCGGTGGCGGGGGTTGGCGGGGGGTAAACCCCTCCCCGATGAATTTCCCTAAACCACCTTCGCCCAGAGGGCTGGTGGGATTGGGGGTCGGCCCCCCCCGATGGGTTCTCGAGAGAGGTGGTCTCTCCTCATCCTCTTTGGCCTGTGGGGTGCCCGCCCGATGGGTTCTCGAGAGAGGTGGTCTCTCCTCATCCTCTTTGGCCTGTGGGGTGCCCGCCCGATGGGTTCCCGAGAGATGTGGTTTATCGTCCTGTCTGGCCCGTGGGGCGCCCCCCCCTCCCTGCGGGAGCCTCTGGAGACCCCCCCCCGAACAAAAAAAAACGTGATCGACCCGCGAACCCGGAAAGGGATATAGACATGTAACGCATGGCGGCGTTTTCAAAGACACCTGATAGGGTGACGGGCAAGTGCAATGCTCAGTGTTTCGATCTTGATGTGCCCCGCCGAGGCCGGTGCTGTGCTGCGCCGTGCTGAATTGCGATGTGCCATGCCGCGATTGTGCTCTATAGCGTCGTGGATCGAGTCCTCCTTTGCATCCGAGTCCTGACCGAACTGATCTGGATGTTGAGCTCGAGCTGCCTGAACACATAGTAGCTGCCCCAGAGCTAATTGACAGGGGGACATGCCAGGAGGACGCGCCGCGAAACGTCCCAAGGGACGCGCCAGGCGACGCGCCAGGGGACGTGCCATGTAGTCGCGCCGCGGGACGTGCCAAGGGAGCGCATTACGGAACGTGCCAATGGACGTGCCACGGGACGTGCCAGGGGACGCGCCGCGCGACGTGCCAGGGGGACTCGGGGACTCGCCGCGGGACGCGCCACGGAACGTGCCAAGGAACGTACCAGGTTGCAATGCTGAGTATATCGATCTTGACGTACCGTGCCGACGTCTGTGCTGCGCTGCGCCGTGCCGAATTGCGATGTGCCATGCTGCGGTTGTGCTCAATAGCGTCGTGGATCGAGTCCTCCTTTGCATCCGAGTCCTGACCGAACTGATCTGGATCTTAAGCCCGAGCTGCCTGACCACAGAATAGCTGCCCCAGAGCTAATTGACAGGGGGGCATGCCAGGAGGACGCGCCGCGGAGCGCTTCAAGGGACGCGCCGGGCGACGTGCCAGGGGACGTGCCATGGGATCGCGCCGCGGGCCGTGCCAAGGGGACGCGCTACGGAACGTGCTGGGGACAAGCGTTTCGCTCGAGACATCATCCTCATGCTAGACATCCGCCTGAGCGACCTGGACACGTGAGACCAAGCGCTACGCTCAACACATCCTCAACACATTCTCATGCTAGACATCCGCCTAGGCGAACTGGACACGTGGAAACAGGTGGTTCGCTCGAGATATTCTCAACACATCTTCATGAGAGACGCCCGCCTGGGTGACCTGGGCACGTGAAAACAAGTGTTTCGCTCGAGACGTTTTCAACACTTCCTCATTCTAGACATCCGCTTGGGCGACCTGTGCACCTGAAATCAAACGTCTCGCTCGAAACATCCTCAACACATCTTCATGTTATACATCCGCCTGGGCGACCTGGACACGTGAAAACAAGCGTATTTCCCGACACATTTTCAACGCATCCTCACTCTAGGCATCCGCCTGGGCAACCTGGACATGTGCAAACAAGCCTCTGGTTCGAGACATCCTCAACACATCCTCATGCTAGGCATCTGTCTGGGCAACCTGGAGGCGTGAAACCAAGCGTCTCGCTCGAGACATCCTCAAGACCCGGGCACGTGAAGACCATCATTTCTCTTGAGAGATCCTCTGAAATAGAGTTCCAAAGGGAGGACGATCTGCAACACAAAACAAGGTTCGGTTCGAAGCATTCTCAACAAATTCTGAAAACAAGCGTTTCGCTCGAGACGTCCTCAAACATGGTTTCGCCGGCCCTAGGCGACCTCGTTATCTATCTCAAAATAATGTCGCCGGCCCTGCAGCCGTCATAACCGGTGGTAAGCACAATAAAAGAGAACCCTGAGCTTAAGCCCTTTCCGGGACAGAAAAAACCGACGATCTGCCTCGAGCGCCGATCTCTCCAGCTTCGGCGTCTTCGATCGTCCTCGAGCCTCGAGCGTCGATCGTCTTCGATCCTGGACCGTCCCCTGGCCTCGATCCTCGAGCTTCGATCCTCGAGCGCCGACCGTCGATCGCCTTTGGTCCCCGGCCCTCGACGTCGGGCGGCCAACATAGGGGGGGGGCCTTCCGGGCAGGCTCGGCGAGGCCGCCGCCGTCGTGGCGGCGGTGGTGCCCTACGCGCGCCACCTCCGCCGGGAGGCGCCGCGGTCGCCGCCGCCGCCGCCGTCGCCGCCGCCGCCGTCTTTCAGCCACGCGCAGAGATGGGGCAGGAGGAGGGGGAGGGCTTCTGAAAAGCACCCCTGCTGCGCAGAAGGCGTGGGCCTCCTCGATAGATGCAGGGCCAGCGCCTTCCAAGGAGCAGCCTTCTACAACCCCCCGCCCCTCCCCCTACCTCCCTGTGCGCGCCGCCAAGTCGTCGCAAGGGTTCTTGCGATCCTGCCCTCACGTTCTACCATGGGCACCTTCCGACCAGCAGGTGGCCTATTGGATGATCTTCTTCTCGAGCTCTGCGCGGGTTTCTTGGGTCGGCGCTGGGCCCCCCTCCGCGCGCCACGGGCTTCCACGTCCTTGCTCTCCTCGGCGTCCTCGTCGTTGTCGCGGTCGTCGTTATCGCCGTCATTGTCGCCGTCGTCCTCATCGTCTTCGTCTTCGTCGTCGTATTTGTCGTCGTCGTCGTCGTCGTCGTCGTCGTCGTCGTCGTCGTCGTCGTCGTCGTCGTCGTCGTCGTCGTCTTCGTTATCGTCCCCGTCCTCCTCCTCATCGTTGTCGTCGTCGTCGTCGTCTTTGTCGTCGTCGTCGTCGTCGTCGTCGTCGTCCTCGTCGTCTTCGTTATCGTCCCCGTCCTCGTCCTCGTCGTCGTCATCGTCGTTTCTGTCATCCTCGTCTTCGTTCCCGTCCTCATCCCCGTCCTCGTGTTCGTCCTCGTCCTCGTCCGCCTTGTCCTCGTCGTTGTCGTCGTCGTCGTCCTCGTTGTCGTCGGTTTCGTCGTCGTCGTTCCCGAGTGCTCCGAACAGCTTCTAGATGCCTTCAGAGGTATCCAGATTCTCCGTAGGCCTTCGGGGACGTCCGGAGATCTTCGGAGGCGGCCGTCGTTCTCGTCTTCGTCCTCGTCCTCGTCGTCCTCCTCGTCGTCGTCGTGCTGGTCCTCGTCCACGTCCTCGCCGTCCTCGTCGTCGTCGTCGTCCTCGTCGTCGTCTTCGTCCTTGTCGTCGTCGTCGTCGTAGTCGTGGTGGCCGCCGCCGCCGCCGTCGTCGTCGTCGTCGTCGTCGTCGTCGTCGTCGTCGCCGCCGCCGCCGCCGTCGTCGTCGTCGTCGTCGCCGCTGTCGTCGTCGTTGTCGTCGTCGTCGTCGCTCTCGTCCTCGTCCTCGTCCTCGTCGTAGTCGTGGTCGTCGTCGTCCTCTTTCTCGTCATCGTCGTCGTCCTCGTCGTCGTCTTTGCCGTTTCCAGCGCCGTGCCCCCCCCCCCATCCCCCCGCAGGGCCCGACCACGTTACTGTTGCCTTCCCACGGGAAGAACGCTACGGGCGGGAATCTTCAAGAAGCCCATGTGTCATCCCATAGCGTCATCCCGTGTGCCACCCACAGCGGCGCCCCGGCGCCCCCCTGCTGTGCCCCCGCGGCACCTCGACTGCAGGCCGAAGGTCCGCGCAGATCCAGCCAAGGCATCGCGCAGATCCAGGCGCGCAGGGTCCTTGTTGGCCGTGCTCGGCCCGCCTGGCCCCGCGGAGCCCTCAAAGAACGACCCGGTCGGGAGCCTCAGACGGGGGTCAATGCAGACGGGGGTCAGCCAGGGCACCGGATCCAACCCGTCGCGGACATCTAAGCGACGGAAGCGAACCGGGTCGGCTACGCCGACATTCGCGCGCAGATTTCCCGCGCGAGGTTGTGCGCAAGCGCCCTCGCTTCCCACGTAAACGTGCCTCGCTGGCGGCCGGCGCAAGCCGCGGCGTCACGTCGCTGTGTCACCTCGGGGCGCGAGCTAACCGGCGCTTTGGCGATCTCGTGGGCCATCTTCATGTCGATGTTCGCGCCCTGTGCCACCTCGGGTGAGGTCCGTTCCTTTCAGGAGGGGAAAAAACACACAGACACAATTAATCGTCGATCCCTCAGAAAATGTGGGTGTGGGGGAAGACAGAAACCCAGAAAATATGGGAAAACATGGGGGATAGTTTTATCTGTGTGTATTTATTCGTGTGTCCTGGGCCCCTCTTCCTCCTTGCCGTCGCTCGTCCGGGGCCGGTGGCCGCTCGGCGGCCGCCGGCACGAGGCGCGGGCGGCAGCCGCGCAGCTGCTGGGCCAGCTGGCCGCGGCGGGGCACGCGGGCGCGGCCGACGCGGCGCTCGGGCTGTCTGGCGGCGGGTGCTGCAGAGCTGCTCCGATTCGGATGCAACTCCTGCGAGGTCAAATTCTGTTTTTGCCCTGGTCCAGAATCCGGCTGAATCCGGCTTGATCCCGCTTAATCTCGCTCAATCCTCAACCTCCCAGTAGTTGCCTCCTAACTCCGACACAGCGGTTTTTCTCCGAGGGCGGCCCGTGTCTCGGGCGAAGGGAGCTATGCACATGCACCGATCCCGGCAAGGCCCAGCCTTGACCCAGGATCGGTGCATAGGCCTCCCTGGCCAAGGCAGGAGGGCGTGTGCACCGATCCTGGGGTCAGGATGGGCCTGGCCAGAATCGGTGTGTGTGCGTGTGTGTGTGTGTGTGTGCATAGTTCTTTTTGCTCTAGTGTCGACCAAGAGCCATCCGACACCACCCCGCCCACGACCCGTTGGGTCGCAGGTGGGTCGCAGGAGGGGTGGCGTCGCGGGTGGGTCGTGGGTGGTCGTGGGTGGGCAAGTGCCCGAACTCTCGACGTCGCCGTCTGCGTCGTAGGTGGGGTGGTGTCTTTTGGTTTCTGGTCCACTGTATGCACCGTGCCGCGCTGGCGTCTCCCGAGGCGTCGTCGATCCTCGAGGCAGGAATGGTAGGGTGCATGGTGCATGGCTTTCGGGCCGTTAGGGCCAGCAAACTGTGCACCGTAGCGCGCTGCAGCGGGGCCTAAACGGAGTCCAGATCTGGTACGGTGCATTGGCGCCGTTCTAGTATTTCCCTACCTAGGCTCTGCCTAGAAGGGTTCTTACTCTCTGGGCTTAAAGGGCCGGGCAGTGGAAAGCGCCCCGGGCGGTTCCCCCAGTATCAGCCCCGCGGTTCCCCCAGTTACGTCCCCTTAGCTTAGCGTTGCTTATCTCATCTTAGCTTGGCTTATTCCATCTTAGCTTAGCTTAGCTTCACCTTAGCTCAGGTTTATCTTAGCTTAGCTTACCTTCATCTTAGTTTCGCTGAGCTTTAGCATAGCAGAGCACAGCATAGCAGTTTAGTTTTCTGTTAGGATAATCAGGGTTAGCTTAGCTTAGCCTAGGCTCTGTCTAGAGGGTTAGCTTAGCTTAGCTTAGCTTAGCATAGCGCAGCGCTGCATTATCATAGCATTTCATAACATAACATAGCCAATCATAACCAAGCATAGCGTAGCATAGCATAGCGCAGCATAGCATAGCATAGCATCGCATCGCATCGCATCGCATCGCATAGCATAGCATAGCATAGCATAACATAGCATAGCATAGCATAGCAACTAATGCTGCTTTCCTAGGGGCTCCAACTTCTAGGTAGGGCCGCACTGGGGTAATTTATCTCTTGGCGATGACGGGCGTGGCCCGGGATGGGGGGGGGAGCGGGCTGGTCGCGTCACGAGTGACGCTGGCGCCGTCTGGGAGTGCCCGGGAAGGGCTCGTTCCCAGCAGGCGCCTCCGTGAGTCGTGTGACCACGGGGCACGAGGGGAGTGGAGAAGGGGGAGGGGGGCGGGGCCCGTCTGAGGCGTTACCGCGGACAATGAAACGAACAGGCTTTTAGGGAACTCCCGACGCCCTCGAGTTGTGAACAGGCCACGGCGGACGGATTTTGGCAATTCTGTTACGCTCCGCGTATCACCACTATTCCATTCGGAAGCGCTGCCCATGCGAGCTGACGGGAAAGGGAATCAACGCGGGCAACGATGGCGAATTGAGGATGCGGATGAGGAGGGGGAGCATGAGGAGGATAGTTATGGATGGCGAAAGGAGGACGAGGAGGAGGGGGAGGAGGAGGATGAGGAGGTGGAGGAGTCGGAGGAGGATAATGAGGAGGAGGATGAGGATGAGGATGAGGCGGATGAGAAGGAGGAGGAGGAAGAGGAGGAGGAGGAGGAGGAAGAAGAGGAAGAGTGGGACAAGGACGAGGAGGACAAGGAGGAGGAGGACGAGGAGGAGAACGAAGCCGAGGACAAGGATGAGGACGAGGAAACGAGGACGAGAAGGATGAGTATGAGGAGGAGGAGGAGGAGGAGGAGGAGGAGGAGGAGGAGGAGGAGGAGGAGGAGCAGGACGAGGAGGAGGAGGAGGAGGAGGAGGAGGAGGAGGAGGAGCAGGAGCAGGACGAGGACGAGGACGAGGAGGATGAGGATGAGGTCTCTGGCAGCCATCTGGGGGTCTTCTTGAGGCCCTTTAGGGTCTTCTTGTGGCTCTCTCGGCGCTCTCTGGCGCCCCCCGTGGTTTCTTTTTTGATTCTTGGGTGCCTCTTGGGGCTCTCTCGGGGCTCTCCTGGCGCCCTCTGGGGGTTCCTTTGGGAGTGGGAGGCAATGGGGTCCTCTTGGAGCTCTTGCTCTCTTGCGGCCCCCTGGAAGACCTCCGGGGGCCATCATGGAGGCCATCAATCACAAGGGAGGGGTCCCCGATCTCGGTCCCTCATTGGGGCCCTCAACAACGCCTCTTGAGGTCCTCTTGGGGCGCTCGTGGGCGCTCTGAGGACCGTCTTGGTGGCCTCTTGACCCCTCTTGGGGCTCTCTTGGGGCCATCTTGGGGCCATCTTGGAGCCCCCAAAGCGCATCGCAAGCTAATAGGCGACGGCACAACTCACTGATTATCCGTTCGTTTTTGAAGGGTTTTGGTTTCTTGGGAAGTCCCGAGGGAGCACCGATAGCTCTTGGAACCGTCTTGTGGCCCTCTTGGGGCCTCTGAGAGCCATGCTGGAATCCGTCTTGAGCGATCGTGCGCTCTATCTTGAGCCATCTTGGAGGTCATCTTGGAGCATCGGAGGCCCTGTTGGAGCCATCCTGGGCGAAAATGGACCCTCTGCCACCTCGCGCCGCCCCATATAGAAAACCTGAGGGATTGGAGGGTGAGGGTACCCCTCCCCGAAGGGAAGGAGGTTCAGGAAGAGGAGGAGCAGACATCGTCTAGTCGCCCAGAGGGCTGGTGGGATCTTTTCGGCCTCGCGTGGCCCTCGCGAGGCCCGGGTTGAAAGAAACACCAAGTCAGGGGTGTGGGTGCAGTCGGACCGAGGTACAAGTCAAGGTCGAGGTCTGTTCGGGGAGGGTACCCTCATGTTCTTCGTGCTTGTTGGGTGTTCCTTGTGTATCCTGGGTAGGGTGCCCTTGGCTGTTCTGTGTGTTTTTTTTTCGGCAGAAGGTCTCATGTTCTTGAAGGATGTTATTCTGGCCTGGGTCCGACTGCATGACTGGGAGAAGAAAGGACAGCCCCACCACCTGGCGGTCCTGGGGGCCATCTTTGGCCATGTTGGTCATGCATGTCTCGAACAACGCGGGCTTGGCCTCCGGGAAAGTCGCGCGAGCCACTCCCAAGATCGCCCGGGAGCGTCTGGGAGCGCCCGGAACTCCGGGCCGTGGGCCCTTTAAGGCATATTGGAAGGGCTCGTTACACGAGGACGCCCCAACTCGTGCCTCAGGGCAAGGTAGCGGATAGCCGTGGTCGACACCCGCCCCAATCCGGCATTTTCCTTTCTGGATTAATCCGGCTCTGCCCCGGGTTTCTTCTTCGTATATCTTTTCAGTCCAGGGCTTTTTCTGGTTTCGGTGCCCTCTTCATCGGGCTTAGTAGCCCTTAGCCGTTTCTTGCGAAGATCTCCAAGCAGTTCCACATCATGTTGGGTCGGCATCACCCACACATACTGATATTCTGTGGGCGGGTGCGCCCCTGGGGAGACGCGCGCTGAGAAATCTTATAGTGCAAGCTCCGTGGCGGGCGCTTTCTGGCCATGCCGTTCGGGAAACGATGCAGTACAATCTTGCTGCACTATCTGATCGGTTTGGACGCACGCCTCCAAAGAGGGCAGACCGTACCAGTATTCCCTTTTTCGTCACGTTGGGGCCCCATTCCTCTGGACCCTGTCTTCGACTTCGAACCCCCGAGGCGATCCCGACACGGCGGCCCGCGCCGCGGCTGCCGAGGCGCGGACCGCCGCTGTTGTCGTCGACACCCGCGCCGCCGTCGCCGCCGCCGCCGTCGCCGTCGCCGTCGCCGTCGCCGTCGCCGTCGTCGTCGTCGTCGTCGTCGTCGTCGTCGTCGTCGTCGTCGTCGTCAACATCGTCGTCGTCAACGTCGTCGTCGTAGTTGGCGTCGTCGTCACTCCTGCTCCCTCGCTCTCGTCTTTGTTTTTTAACCCTGCTCTTCCGCTCTCGCCTTTGATTGGCCTCCCTGTAGGCATGCCAATCCAGCTTACAGTTCCCTCCTCCTCCCTCTCCGCTCCACCCTTCTCGGTCCACCCTCCTTTTCCTTGCCCCCCCTCCCTTCCTCCTGATCCCACCGCCCTTTCCAAGGTCTTCTTTGTTGGCGTGTGAGTCTCTGGTTCGCTGGGCACGGCAGTCCTCATTGTGGTCGTGTGTGTTGCTTGCATGTTCGTTTTCGACGGCGGGCTCAGCCGCGTGCCTAATGATGGGTTACGTGAGGGTCTTGCGGCTCGTCGACTTGCGGCAATCGTGGCGGCGCGCGGTCTTATACGCTTCATTCACACCTACAGCTGTCTTATAGTTCGTTTGGTTTTTCACCAGCCATCCTGTGGTCTTGGGTCCTCGATCTAAAGAGACAGCGCCCCGCGTCCTCACCTTCCTCTTTGCCACCCCTCCCTCCTCCCTCCTCCCATCCCTGCCTCTGCCCTCCGTACGTCAACCATTTCGGCACACCCCTCGCACGATTCGTGGCCCCAGTCGCAGCTCCATCGAAAGCCCCGGAGGCCGCGTCCGCATGCGGCTTCCCGCCCTCTGCATGTCCGTTTCGGCGCACCCCTCACACGTTGCGTGGCCCCATCCACCGAAGGCCCCAGAGGCCGCGTTCGCATGCGCCCCCCCGCCTACAGCATGTCCAATCCGGCATACCCTTCACACGTTCCGTGGCCCCAAAGGGAGCTCCAACGAATGCCTCAAAGGGTCACGCCCGTTTCGGCATACCTCTCACACGTTTTGTGGCCCCATAAGGAGCTCCATCGAAGGCCCCAGAGGGAGCGTTCGCATGTGGGCGTCACGCCCGTTTGGGCACACCCCTACCACGTTTCGTGGCCCCACAAGGAACTCAACCGAAGGCTCCATAGGGAGCGTTTGCATGTGGGCGTCACGCCCGTTTCGGCACCCCCCTCACACGTTGCGTGGCCCCATAAGGAGTTCCACCGAAGGCCCCACAGGCACGGTCCGCATGCGGCCCTCCCCCCCCGCCCCATTTCGGCATGCCCCTCGCGCGTTCCGTGGCCCCCATGGGGAAATCCACAGAAGACCATACTCACGGCTGGGGTATCCACAGCTGCAGATGGTGGGGCCCTTCGCCATTATAATTGTGTACGCGCACCCCATCTGTCACAGCTGGTGTTCGCCCCTCGGAGAAAGTTGCAGTTTTGCGCTGGCGGGCATTGTGGGTGTTGGGTGATGCCTTTACCTGCGGTCGCGATGCGGAGTTCTAGTTTGTGTGCGCAGGTTGTTTCTGGTGGCTTGCGGCTTTGGTGCACGCATGTGTTAGTATTGTGCTGTATGGCGTCTGCCACTTATTTTGAATTCATCTGTGTGCTGGGCCTGCTGCTGTTGCTGCGGCTGCTGCTCATTCGGCCGTTGATCGTCAGCGTGTCCGTGCTGTTCGAGGCGGGCCTCGTCAAATACTTCCGCGTATGTGGCGATGAGTGCCAGTATTGGGCGGCGCCGTGCCCCCCTGGGAGTTCATCTCCCTGGTCTTCTCCGTGGTCTTCGAGCTGTTCGCCCGACCCGGGGTAAAGGGCATGCTGCGCCAACGAGAGCACATCCTTCCCCCCCCCTCCCCACCCCTCTCGCTGCACCGTCCTGCTCCTCCCTCCCTCCTCCTCCTCCTCCTCCTCCTCCTCCTCCTCCTCCTCCTTCGCCATCCGCCTCCGCCTCCGCCTCACTCCTCCTCCTCCTCCTCCTCCTTCGCCATCTCCCTCTTCGCTCCACCCTTCTCGCTGCACCGTCCTGCTCCTTCTCCCTCCCTCTTTCCTCCTACCGACCTACCTGCCTACCTACCCACCCACCCACCCACCCACCCACCCAGCCAGCCAGCCAGCCACCCAGCCAGCCACCCACCCAGCCAGCCAGCCAGCCAGCCAGCCAGCCAGCCACCCACCTACCGACCTACCGACTTACCGACCTACCGACCTACCGACCCTCCTGCTTACCTACCTACCTACCTACCTACCTCATGGCTCAATGGGAGCACACCTCCCTCCTCCTCCTCCGCCATCCTCCTCCGCCTTCCTCTTCCTCCTCCTCCTCCTCCTCCTTTTTCTCCGCCTCCGCCTCCGCCTCCGCCTCTTCCTCCTCCTCTTCCTCCTCCTCCTCCTCTTCCTCCCCCTTGTCCGCCTTCCTCCTCCGCCTTCCTCCTCCTCCTCCTCCTCCTCCTCCTCCTCCTCCTCCTCCTCGTCCGCCAGCTCCACGCCCCTCCTCTCCCCGCTCGTTCTGCTCCCTGCTGCGGCAGCCGAGGCGCTGGGGGTGCTCCTGGCGGCCCCTGCGGAGGCCGCGGAGGGCCAAGCGGGAGAGCTCTGGGGCCCCCCAAGTCGGGCAGAGTGGAGCCATTCGTGGACAATCCCCCCTCCCCCTAAAACTCAACGCCCTGTGATCCTGGCGGCTCAATCTTTTCGAGCCGGGCGTTTTCGCTCCATTTCGGGCCCCGGGACCCTCACAGATCGATCCGGCTTGAAGATATGACGCAGAAGTATGTGGTCCCCGGTCGTGACTTTCTGCGATGCTGCGTTCCTTTTGCAGCGTCAGATCTCAGGGAGTTGGCACGCGCGGAGGAGACTGCGGTCGAGGTGCAGCTCATCGGACCCACCGCCCACTCTGAGCACGGGGGCCAGGGGGAAGCGTTGACCGAGGAATGCGGCAGGAGTATTCGCTATTTTTGCTCCGAGGCCTGTCGGGTATTGCTAGCAGTTCAGAGGAGGAACGCGTACGGATACCGCTACCCTTCCCCTATTGTCCCCTTTTTGGACCTCCTGGGAGGGCCTCGTCGTCACCGCTGGATTCGCCCCGAACTCCTGGTCCGAACGCACCCCTGGAGAGGTCCAGGGAGCAGCGGTGTCGGTACCTTTGGGTTTCCCCAGAGATGCCCTTGGCTGAAGGCGCCCCAGGATTTCCCCGGCCTCCACGGCCTCCAGAGCACCCCTCACGAGGCCCAGAGGGCCCCAGGGGCTCCAGACTGGAACGAAAAGCTGGGACCACCTTGGGCCAGGGGCACCTGTGGAACCCTCCGACCAGAAGGGGCGATGACCGCAGCGCGTGGCGAGTCAGCTGGAACCACACCGCGGCTTTGTTCGGGCAGTTTTTGGCGTTTGGGGTGGGTCTCCTGCCTCGGGCTACATTCCAGCATTTGGGCCTCGCTGGGATCGGAGCGTTCTGGAGGTGCTGTCTAGGAGGCCTCGTAGGCCATTCTGGGGCTGTGTGGAGCCTTCTTGGGGGCCTCGTGGAACGTGTCGGGGCGATCTAGTAGGCGTCAGAGGCCGTCTTGGACGCGTTGAAAACTCCCAAAGCAGATCTGGGGGCTTCGGAGGCCGTCTTGGACGTGGTGAAAGCCTCAGAGGCGAATCTGCTGAAAATGTTAGTTCTCTGACGGGGAGCCACGATATTTGCTTTCTGGGACCCTCTGGAATTTCCTCTTGGGACCCTCTAGGAGCGTCTTCGAAGTTTCTGGGGCTGTCTTGAAGCCATCCCGGGCCGCTTCGTGCCATCTGGGGTCACATGGAGGCCATGTTGGGGCGTCTTGGGGTCATCTGGGCCCCGGCCCTTTTGCCTGGACCCCCCCTCCAAACCAGCCAGACCCGGCTCCTGGGAGAGGGGGTTGGGGAGGGGCAGAAGTCTCACGCGCCGAGTAGACTCGAAAGGGTCGACGGGATTGGCGGCGTCGAAGACCCGGGGATCCTGTGTGTGTGTGTGTGTGTGTGTGTGTGCGTGCGTGCGTGCGTGCGTGCGTGCGTGCGTGCGTGCGTGTGTGTGTGTGTGTGTGTGTGTGTGTGTGTGTGTGTGTGTGCGCGCGCGCGCGCGCGCGCGCGCGTGTGGGGATTCTCCCACGGTTGCCTTCCAATGGGGTATTTCCGCAATGGTAATCCATTCGTGTAGGGACTCATGCTGAAGGGGTTAGCTTGGAGGGATGGCCACATTGCACTTTCGCTGATGCGTCTTGGGTTCGCACGGGTCCTCCTTCTCCTCCTCCTCCTCCCTCCCTCCCTCCCTCCCTCCCTTCCTCCCTCCTCCTCCTCCTCCTCTCCTCCTCCTCCTCCTCCTCCTCCTCCTCCTTCTCCTCCTCCCTCCTCCTTCTCCCTCCTCCCTCCTTCCTCCTCCCCCTCCCTCCTCCTCCTCCCTCCTCCCTCCTCCCTTCCTCCTCCCTCCTCCCTCCTCCCTCCTCCTCCTCCACCTCCTCCTCCTCCTCCTCCTTCGCTGGAGACGCGGGGGGGGGGGGGGCAGTGGGCTCGCCGGCCGCAGGGCGCCGCGGCGTGCTTGGCGGCGGCGCGGGCGCGGCTGCAGGACGGCAGCTGGCGCGTGCGCCTGACGGCCGTGTGCGCGGTGGCCAGGCTGGCGGGCGCCCCGCCCGCGGCCGGCGGGGAGGCTGCCAGCCGGAGGCGACGGTGGGAGTACGTCGGGCCTGCCCCCTTCTGCAGGGGGAGCATTCAAGCCCAGTCCAAACACAGTCTGGGGACGAAATCTTCTATATATCACAACAAAACACCGGAACACACACATATATCTGTGTAATATATTTTTATGAAAAATGATTGTTTACACACATATATATATATACATACACATCTATATGTATGTGAATGAGAGAGAGTATTTTGTAATATGTTGTCGGGCATTTCAAATTTTTCGTCCAAGGTCCGCCTGTGGGGGGACATGCCCGACCTAACGATAGGGGCGAATAGCCCAGGGGCGGGCATTGCACGTATTCGCCAGGGAGCGCCTCGCCGAAGGCAAGGTCCGGAACTGTGAGACGGGGGTCAATGCAAACGGGAGTCAGCCAGAGCGCGGGATTTGGCAGGATCCTGCAGAGCCCGGGCTGCATTCACCTGGGCTGGGCGCGCAGGATCTTGCAGGATCCTAGAGGATTTCTTGCCGGACCTTGCAGAGCCTGACTGGCCCGTGTTCGTATTGACCCGGGTCAGCAGGAGCTCGACCTGGAGCATCGGCGCCCTCGGATACCTGTGCTGCTCTCCAGTGGGCTCCATTCTTAAGTGTGGCCTGTCCCTCCTCTACAGGAGGAGTATTAAAAAAAAAGTGAAAAATAGTCTGGGGACGATTCCTGGACTACTATCGACCATTTCGGCGCATTTTTTGACTATTGTTCAGCGTTCGTC